GGGGTTTTTTTTTTCTATTTTTTAGGAATGAAGCGTAAATTAAGTGTTGGTATTGCATTAATTGCAAATTCAAAAGTTGTCATTTTGGATGAACCAACTAGTGGTAAGACTCTTGATTGAATTTCTAGGATTATTATTCGAAAAGTATATGTGTGTGTGCTTTTTTATTAATAAAAGGAATGGATCCAGCAGCTCGTCGATCAACTTGGGAAATGCTTCAACGTTTTCGTTTGGATCGAACAATTCTATTTACTACTCATTTTATGGATGAAGCTGATGTTTTAGGTGATCGAGTATGTAGAATTTTTTTTTTTAAATTCTATTCACTTAAATGATTTCATCAATTTATATATAGATTGCCATTATGGGTGAAGGTCGTATTCGTTGTTGTGGTTCACCATTTTTCTTAAAAACAACATATGGTATAATAAACATACATGCTCAGATTGATAATCAGAGAATACATTTGATTTTTTCCTAATTTTTAGAAGTATTTCTGAGATTTTGTAAAGAAAAACAAAACATCTTGATTAGGAATATGAATGAGTAAAATTTTTAAAATTTCGAATGATATTTAAGATGTAAATGTATATCTTTTCTATTTATGTATGTCAACATTAGAGTCTGTCGAGTCAATTTTGAAATAGAATTCGAGATCTTTTTTGGATCCGATAGGGTCTAGCTAATATGAGTGGAAAGAAACTTCATAATTCAGAATATAAAATTTATGAGGGAAAATTTCCAACTGACAAATGCTGATTGCATTGATTTTTTTCACAGAAATAGACCTCAGTGAGATTAGTAAAAGTCTGAAACAACAAGGATTCTTGGGTCTCATTTTCGTAATCATAACTACTTTTATGAGTTCTTAGCATATTGACGAATACAATGATCACAAAAATGAAAAGAACAAAAATTTTGTATCATGAAAGGGGTACACTTAAAACATCCATAACTTCGAAAGAGAGGACGAACAATTATTTCCCTTTCAGATTTGTACTGGTAATACTGTGGTCTACTTATCGACTATAAAATTAGTTCAAACAGTATTTTGTCAGTTGATGATCTTTTCTTATTTTAGACTTATTCTTCAATTAATGAAAGAAATAATTCGCATAAATATATTTTTATTTTGTTCAGGTGTTGGTTATCATTTAATAATTTCGAAAGATGCGAACGCTGATCCAAATCGAATCTTTCACTTAGTACAAAAACATATTGAACAAGCTCGATTAGAATCAGCAATAAGTGCCGAATGCAAAATATTATTACCACATGATTTATCAGCTAAATTTCCTGATTTATTTGAAGATTTAGAAAAACATAAAGATCAATTAGAAATTTTTAGTATTGGATTATCAGAAACATCAATTGAAGAAGTGTTTATGAAAATGTATGAAAAACAAAAATTCATATTTATTGATTTTGATATGAATATTTTTTTTTTATTTATTTAGTGTTGAAGAAGACGAACCAGATGAAATTACAACAACAGCTAATTATCATTTAAATAACAATTCTTTGGAAAATAATAAAGAATATAGTGATATTGATGGATTATGTTCATCAAATGATATACCTCAAAGTATACCGAAAGCGAAAACTAATTCTTCAAATAGGAGATTAAGTAAAAACAAAAACGACATTTTCAGTATTTTAATTGGAAAAAAAACCAAAATCAATCATCTCTCTTCTTCTGCTTCTTCTTCGGATAATTGAATAAATTTAATTTTATATTTCTATAATTAAATTATATATTGTATTTTCTAGGTATTTTTGATATGGAAATAATAAAAAATACTGGCATAATGTTATTAATTCAACAATTTTATGCTTTATTACTTAAACGTATTCTTAATTCAATGAGAAATTATCTTGTTTTATTTGCTGCTATTTTACCTATTTTATTTGTTATTGTATCATTAATAATAGAACATCAAATACCTAAACCAGAAGATAGTCCACCATTATTAATGTCATTGGATCGATATCAAAAAACACATGTACCTTATACATATGATCGAAATCAAACATTATCAATTGATTTTATTCGTTCATATGAATATACTCTTAGAGAATCAACTAAACCAGTAACATTAATTGATTTAACAACAAATGATACACGACCATGTCAAAATGGAACATCAACTAAAATTCTATCATATTTATCTTGTATAGGTCAACGAAGTTTAGTTGAATTATCTGATCAATATTTAATTGGAACAAATGTTACAGTTGATCAATCAAAAGAATTATTAAATATAACTGGATTATTTAATAATCAACCATATCATATATCACCATTAGCTTTAAATTATTTAACAAATACATTATTAAAACAATATTCATCAACATCAACAATGAATCGAACAATACATGTTATTAATCATCCGGTAAATAAATAAAAAACAAAAGCTGTTTATGTAATCGCTACAAGACTAAAATGTAAAACACGATATAATTCAAGTTTTCTCAGTTGCAATAAATTTGGTCTAGTTTCAGTCCCGATGATTTGAGTTTTTTTGAATTTCAATTTAAAGAAAACTTTTCCAGATTTAATTCGTATCACATCTAAAAATATTCTTCGTTTTATTTAGTCAACGACTAGCACTTCTTTTTGGGTCATGTCTCTTGTATTATGTTCTCATGGATGATTATGGTTTATAAGATAATTCGCTTCAAAATTATAGAATATTTCATTATAATCTTTTGGCTACAATTGTAGCAACTTTTTTTTCGTGGTTTCGCACATCTCTAGTCACGGTCTATGAGTAGGAGAGGGAAACTTTAGTCCCTATAATTCAACATTACTTTTAGATCGTGTTTCACAAAACAATAAATAAGAAAATTTATTTATTTATTTATTTTAGTTGCCACGTTCAGTACGACAAACCATAACTGATTTTCAATCACAACAATTTTTTGGTTTTCGTATGGCATCAAGTATTGTATTTGGTTTTGGTTTTATGATGGCATCATTTGCTGTATTTTTAATTAAAGAACGAGTTTCTAAAGCAAAACATTTACAATTTTTAAGTGGAGCTAGTGGAATTAATTTTTGGTTAAGTACTTTTATTTGGGATTTAGTTTATTATATTCTTGCTACTATATGTATATTTATTGTTTGGACTATTTTCTATCATACAGCAGCAGTTAAAGATGATCTTAAAGCTTATTTAGGTGGTGATCGTTTAGGATATACGATTCTATTATATTTTTTATATGGTTTATCACATATTCCAATGACTTATTTACTTTCATTTATTTTTCAAATACCTGCTAGTGGTTTTGCTTGGATGGCAATTCTAAATATAATAACAAGTAATATAAAAAAAAATTTATTTATTTTTGGAAATGAAATGTTTTACTTTTTGAATCATAGGTCAAGCAACACTTCTTGCAGTTGTTATACTTTCTATTCCACAACTTGACTTAATTAATGTATCCAATATTCTTGAATGGATATTTCTTATTTTATTTCCGAATTTTTGTCTTGGTCAAGGACTTAATAATATGTATCAAAATTATGTTCTAAATGGATTATGTGCACCAATTGTTATTTTTTGTAATTCAGCGCCAAATCCATGTTGTAAAGGTAAGATTTTCTTTTTTTTTATTGTTCATTTTTTTTTTGAATTTTAATGCTTGTTTTTTTTTCTTCTTTTCATCTTCTATAGATAATTGTGGTTCGGATTGTATTGCTTGGACACCTAATTATCTAAGTTGGGAGAGACCAGGTATTGGTCGTTATCTAACATTTATGAGTATTCAATCAATTGTTTTATTTACAATTCTTCTTCTTATTACATATCAAATATTACCAAAGCTTTTCTTTTATACACATCGAAATTCTCGAGTTCATAATAGACCTGATACTAATATTGAAAATAACAATGAAGAAAATCAAACAAATCATACGACATCATCTATAATTCCAATAGCATATGAAACTCAAATTTCAAATGTATATGAAGATGATGATGTTAAAGATGAAATTGAACGTATTCAAACAACATCTTATAATGAATTAATGCAAACAGATGCACTTGTATTAAATCAAGTAACTAAATTTTATAATGGAACATTTCGTGCTGTTGATCAATTATCATTGGGAGTAAAGCAAAGAGAATGTTTTGGATTGTTAGGTGTCAATGGAGCGTAAGTCTAATTGAAAAAGAAAAGCTTTTTAACTCTTATATTGTGTACATTGCTTTATGAATGTGTCAATTTGACTTGACAAAATGTCGTAAATGGATTTCTTTTTTTACATTTCTGTTAACAACTATGTATTTATGTAATAGGTGGTGAATGATGCAAGTAGACTCAAGCCCGAACTGAAAAAAAGAATATTCAATCCGATTGACTGTAGGCTAAAAATAAAAATCAATTATAAATTGATTCTAATAAGATCATATCAAGATTGTCTAGAGAATGTGTAAGGATGTGCTAATCACTGAATAGAAATAATCGAAGAAATGGATACTATATTTTCCGAAGTAATTATCTGATTTCGATTAGAAAATTTCATTGAGAGAATTAAGAACATAGTCCGAATTCGAACAAATTGAATTCGACAGGACTATCAATATAAGATAAAAATACTTTGATCTTTAGCGTTAAACCATCAGAAAAATTGGCTTCATTGAAAGCCGTTATTTCTATAATAATAATATGACGGTGACATATAGATTAGGCATTTCAGTTTATATAGTATCTTATACGTAAACATGCACGATATTAATTCTTAATTATTTTTATGTGAAATAATATTTTTTTTTTCTCTAAAAGGTTTCTATTAAAGTCAAATATATTCTCATTATTAATTGATGTGTAAAAATCCTATTTTCTTTTTTCTTTCTCTTGAATTAAACATCAAAAAAAAAATTGAAAATTTTAGTGGTAAAACAACAACATTTAAAATGATAACAGGTGATGAAAAAATTGATCAAGGTTCAATAATAATTGATTCAATAGATTTAAGTCAATCATTGAGAACAGCACAACGTCGTATGGGTTATTGTCCACAATTTGATGCTTTAATTGATTTATTAACTGGTGAAGAAACACTTTATATGTTTGCTCGTTTACGTGGTGTAAAAGAATATTTAATTCCTCGAATAGTTTCATCATTAATTGAATTAATGAATTTGATAAAACATGCTAAAAAACCTGTTTATGCTTATAGTGGAGGAAATAAACGAAAATTATCAGCTGCAGTTGCACTTATTGGTGATCCATCTATTATATTTCTTGATGAACCAACAACTGGTATGGATCCAAAAGCACGAAGACATTTTTGGAATGCTATTGCACAATTTCGTGATCATGGTAAACCAATTATATTAACAAGTCATTCAATGGAAGAATGTGAAGCATTATGTACACGTTTAGCAATTATGGTTAATGGAAAATTTAAATGTCTTGGAAGTATTCAACATTTAAAATCAAAATTTGGTGCAGGTATAGAATTAATAAAGCTTACAGTGGCTCTAAAAAATTATTCAATCAGATTTATTTTCAATATTTTTATCTACAATTGTTAGTACTAATGAAAATTCAAATAGTAATTTTTGTAGAGAATTTTCGAAGATAAAAATGATTTTCTAGTTTTCCTAATGATAAGATCTCTGAACAATCAAAATTCAAGTTTTTCATCTACTGGAATTATGTTTGAATTAGCCAGAATAATAGAGTAAACAATTCTCTACGACGTTTTTTGATCGAGATACACCAATATTACGGACGGTACAAAAATGATATTTCTATATAAAATAGCAGATAAAACGACTTTAGTGGTTTCCATAAGATTGACGTATTTCGGCCAAAACAAACATCGTAGAGAGTTGGGAGACGTTTTACTTTGTAGAGAATTGTTTGCTTTATGATTCGGAATAATTCGAATATAATCCCAGTGAATGAAAAACATGATTTTCGGTTTTGCAGAGACACTATCCTTAGAAAATTAGCAATTATTTTCATCTTCGGAGCCATCATGGCTCAGTGACTACGTTGTTTGGCATGTATCCAATAGGTACTCTATTCAAACCTCGGTGCCATCAGTCATGAGACGATCCTGTGGTTAGTCAGTGTGTATGGGGAGCTTAAGCAATTGACTGCAAGAAATTTGTATCAGATTGGCTTTCTCTTTAGAGCTGCGACTAGTATTAGTTTTTCGGAAAGATATTTGCTTCTAGACAGCACTTCATACCGTAAAGTAGCCGAAAAACAGATCTATTCTTCTTTTTCATCCTCAAAAACTCTTGTTCAAAAGAAAATTCTCTACAAAAATTACCATTGGTATTGTTACTAGAGTTGATGATCATGGAAATAAATTGAAAATACATTCAGTCGAATAATTTTTGCAAGCCACTGTATATCAAATTTTGTTTTCGAATATTTACAATATGATTTTTCTTTTTGTTTGTTTGTTTAGGTTATACTCTTATGGCTAAATTAAATGTATTTAATGACACTCTTGTCAATGGATTTTATTCAGTTATTAAAAATTCATTTTCAAATAGCCAGTTAAAAGAAGCTTATGAAGGTTTTGTACATATTCATATTAATGAAGCTAAGCTATCATTAGCCGAACTTTTTCGTATTATTGAATCATGTAAACAAGCATATACAATTGAAAATTATACAGTTAGTCAAACTACATTAGAACAAGTATTTTTAAATTTTGCACGTAGTCAACTTGATCCCGATGAACTACAACGTCGTATGCGTAAAGACAATACCTGGCGTCAGAAATTGACAAAATGTTGTTCTAATTGTTGTTAAAAAAAACAAAAAAAAAAAGAATTTTTATTTTTCAATATATTCTATGTAATTTTGATATTCGTTCAGTTTTTTCTGTGATGTTTATTTTTTTTTCTTGCTTTTCAAGACAAATAATTAATTTCTCGTCTTTAAAATTCTTTATAAAATATCAAAATATAACATTTTTGTTAACAAGATAACTGTAATGATAAATAAACGACAACAATAATATGATTATTTTTCATATTAATTAGTTAACATCTGAGTTTTATTTTTACCTTGAACATATGTTAATATTGAAGTGTGGGAATGAAACATATATATATCCACTTGAAATATTGTCTCATATTTGATAACGAAACCTGTCAATAAAAGTTGTTTTCTTTTTAAAATGATCTATTGGTTTTGTATGTTCAAAAAAGAATGATCACATCAATATCGGTAAGTATTTTGATTTAATTTTTCTAGCAGGTGGACAAATGTCTCATACATCATTTTGTTCAAAGCGCGAAAAAAAAAGAAGAAAGAAATGAAACTCAATGCACATTTTCTATTGTCTTCTTTTTTTTTCATCGTCTGACTGTAAGTGAAATTATTTTTTAATTTATGGTCAGCAGAAGGTTCATTCGGAACAACACAGAACACACGTCAAGATGAGACACGCGTCGCATTTTTCCTATAGACGACGAAGGTCAACGTCCGGGCATATAATGTGCGCTGCCGTTTCCCGTCTGTGCAAGTTTCTCATCATTTTTTTTTTTTGTATGTATATATCTTAAATTAACGTCTCTCTCTTTTTTTTTTTGTTCCCTTTGTCCTATCAATGTGCACTGAGCGTGCATGTGTGCCACCTCTCTTGAATAAATGGACAGAAATGAACGCGTGCTGACCATCTGCCGCCGTGTTTTCCCTGTTGTTACAGACGATAACGACGAGAGAAAAAAAATACGAGAAGAACGAATGCATTTGTCCAAGCATACGTAACGCAGTAATGGGAATACAGAGAAAAAGAGAGGGAGAGAGAGAGAAGGGGAAAAAAAGGAAGTAGACACTCTGTTTAATGATATAGCAGACACATTTTGTACATTGATTCTTTTATTCTAGATTTGTCCTGGTGAACATCATGATAGAAGAACAAACAAATGAAAATTTAAATCCAAATTATTTAAGCAAGTATGTATTTTTACCCAATTTTAATCCCTTGATATTCTGTTTTTGTATCCTCTCTAAAGATTTACATATGTATATATGTATATCTATATGTTATTGTTGTTTTCGGAACGCACATGGATATATTGTATAAATGTATTTATACGGTGTATAAATTGTTTTGTTCTCGAAGAACATATATAGACATGCCACATAAAAGAAAAGACCATTCTTAGTTTTTCTTTTATTTCACATACATACACATATACATATAAATATATATATACGTCCTACATACATATATACTATCGTCTTAAGATTAGAATGAATAAGTGAGAGAAATAAAAAAAAAAGAAATATTTTGATTATTTCCATAATTAAATTTGTTTGTTTGTTTTTTGTTTTAGGCTCGATGTTCTTGCTGAATTAGCATCGAGTCAAAAACCAATTATTAATGATTTATCAATAAAACAAGAATATGAAACATCAATGAATGAAACAAATATTAAAAATGAAGAAACAATATCAACAAATGAAAATTCTAATACAACATTAGGACCAACATTTGTTCTTAAAACAACACAAAAAGGTAAACCATGTATTTTACTTGATGGTCATAGATATAAACATCGACGTGATAATCTCGATGGTTCAATGTCATGGACATGTACACAGTAAGTTTTCAAAATTTTATTTATTTTAATATTATTTTGTTTTTTTTTTTTCTTTTTGTATAGTGAATTATGTAGTGCAAGTGTACGAACATTTGGTGAACGAGTTGTACGTCGTAATGATGATCATTTACATGGACGTACATTACGTGTTGATCCTCAACAAGAATTTTTATCACGTTTAAAAAAACGTGCAGCTGAAGATACAGTTACAATACCAAGAATATATGATGAAGAATTAGCAAGATCTGTTGATGAACATTCATCTGATATACGTTCACATTTACCATCATTTTCATCAGTTAAATCAACATTATATCGTCATAGACAACGTGGTCAACGTAATCAAACATCAAAATTAATTAAAACTGAATATGATACTGATTGTAAATTATCATCAGTTAATTTAACAACAAATAATAATGGATGGAATACATTACCACCGAAAAAACGTCCATTAACAATTAATGTTGATTGTTTACCAACACCAAGTCCATCATCTTGTTGTTCTTCATCTTGTTCATATTTATCATCTGAAAGTCATAATGGTGAAAAACGACGAAAATATTCATCAACATCATCAACGACAACAACAACAACAACACAATTGACAGAAGATAATAATAATAATAATAATAGTGCTCAAATGGCTGTTGCTGCTGCATTTGAATCTCAACAATTGATTGCTAAATTTCTTTCAAATCCATATAATCTTTTATTGGCACAAAATTATTTTGCTAAATATTCTTCAACGTTTGCCGATAATCCACATTTTATGCTGATGCATGCATATGCATTAGTACTATCTAGTCTTCAACAACAACAACTTATGTGATACTTCTTGGTTTTTTTTTGTTTTTACTTTAACCGTATGTCAGATCATTTTCTCTGTGTTTGTTGTATCAAGTCACGTTTATCACCCTTCCTTTTTTTCTTTTTTTTTTTTTACTTTTTTTTCTTTTTTGTTGTTGTTCGTTTTTTTTTCTCTATTTGGCGATGAGCAGTCGTATTTATGTGCGTTGTTCGCGTTTTTTTTCTTTTGTTTGGTTGTGTTGAACTTTTAGACACACAGATAAACATTTCATTTTTTTTTCTGTTGTTACTATTATTATTATTATTATTGTTGTCTTCATTAACCTAGTCATCTGAACGTATGATATGTATGTTTGTATTGTGTTATTTATTTTCCATGATTGATGCATTCATTCATTCCATAAACTTTTTGTGTGCCTTTTGGTTTTTGTTAGGTTTTCTTTTTGTGTATGTGTGTGCGCGCGCGCTATCATTGGAGCGGATCTTCCTTATGTTTTGCTCAACAAATTTCATTTTTTCTTGCTGTCGTCATATATATATATATAAAAGAAGAAAACTAAAACAAAAAGTTTAAAAAAAAAAAAGTGAACACATATTTTTGATATCTATATATTTATGTTAGAATGATTAGATAGAACTAGATTTTTTTTTATTGCTTTTTCGACGACCACGACAGGAAATGATAGTCATTTCTCAAAAAAAAGCAAAGGACATGAAAAGACACAACTAAATGAGAGCCGCTTTCACTAAAACAGCAAAGTTAGAGAGAGAGACAGGGTATTGTCAAGTCTCCACCACACACATGCAAGTATGCTTTCCCGGACGGAAATACAAATGACATCGATCGGGTCTAAACAGAACAACAAGAAAGGAAACAGCAGGCGACGAACAATGAGTATTTGAAACCGGCTAAGAGATAGGAAAAGTAGTGTGTTGATATATGAAATTATTATTTATAATAAATAAATAAAAAAAAGTAAGAAAAAAAAAGCAAATTTTACTTTTTTGCAAATTTAAAATTACGTTTGCGTTTTCTTTTATGCTTTTTAATTGTAGACTTCTAAATCAATAAATACTATTATTTACATAATGATATTATGCTTCCGAAGTTATTTGTTTTTTTTTTCTTTTTCCTGAAATTTTCTTATATGTCTAGAATTTTACTAAAATTATATTTGTAAACAAAGTATTTAGCGTATGCTACAATAATCTTCTAATTATGTATGACTTTACTTGATTTTTTTAAAGCATTTAGAAACGTTATTCTCATATTTCCATTAGCATGGTTTGTTTTTTTTTACTCTACTCATTTAATAATGTATATATATAAGTATCATATTTTTTCAAGCTACAATATCAAATTAAGAATTCATTTCACAAATCTTTCCTATATTAATATTCTTCCGTTTCTTTTTTTTTTTATACAACAAGAAACATATTCTGACATTTAACACTATTTGTATATATCCTTATTTAATGATATGTGTATATATTTGTATTGATCTTTAATATACATATTACATGAAAAATCACTTGTCGTTTTTACTATATATATATATAGGTCATCAGTTCTTTCGACTATCATATTCCTCATTCATTTGCCACGAAGATGGATTATGTGCGTTTCTTAGTTCAGTATTATGATCTCGTGATTTTATTATCTATATCTGAATATGTTTATATAAACGTGTGTCAAGTATTGCGTCAATGAGCTCTTGGTTTGTTCCAATTTAATCAGATAGTGATGAGTCGAAGCTGATGTGCATGCATGAGAGAAAAAAGAGAGACAGAATAAGCAAACTAGTTCGTTCATCTATTAGCATCGTGCATGTGACACAACGAACAGCAGGATACGGCATGCTTTCAGTTGATGTTGTTGAATGAATAGATAGGGGAGACTATGGAAACATAAAGAGAGAGAGAGAGAGATAGGGAGAAAAAAGCGTGTGTTGTGCGCACAGCAGTAAAAAAACAGGGAAGGCTGAAACCAATTACCCGCAAAGATAGTACAGAAAAAAGAGAGACGACTGATGTGACACAGGCAGAGGAGAAACTTAGGCATGGGTATGACTAGAAAATTGAACGAAGACACGCACATAGGCTCGAGGGCGAATGAACGAAAGAAAGCGCGCGTGCTTTGGAACTAAGATAAAGCAACGTCATAATAGTACTACTGTTGTTGTTGTCACTATAAAGGAAAAAGACAAGAGAATTGGAAACGTTTGCTTCTCTATCTTTCATCTTTATTTTCTACCGTTTGACCATTGGTCAAAAGAATTAATGAGAAGAGTCTTATTGTTATTTTACTCTTTGATGGTATCATAACAAATGAGAAAGGCAAGAAACAGAATGATATTATAAATGATCTTTTACATTTGTAATAGATCAACACTATGGTCAATAGGAGAGAAGAGTAAAAAAAATAATATAGCTTATTGTTTATTTATTCATGAGAACAAGTTCAAATAGAGAAATATAACATAGAAAAAAAGGGACGAGAGAATTAGCTAAGTCTATGCAGGAAAACTGACAGACTGACAAGTCGAACAATGCGTGCGTGTCGACGGATAACAACAATCATTATCATGCACATGTATATGCTTCTTTCTTATATATTAATTAACAATTTAATTTAAAGTTATGTCTATTGACGTGTCATTCGTCGTTTATTATAAAAAAAGAGTTATTCTGATTACTTATATTAATAAAACTAATATACATAGAACAAGAAAGGTAATAAATTTTTTTTGATTTACTATAAAAAGAAAGGTGTCAATCTCCTTGATTGCTTCATTTATAATAGGTCAATTTTCTTCTATTCATGATAAAAAAAAAACCAGTAACTTGAGGTTTAAGAAAGGCGAGAAAAATAGAAGGAATTTTTTTAATAACAATATCCATCTAACTAATGCAATAGAGAAAGAGAGAGAGAGAGAGAGAGGGAGAGAGAAAGGGGAAGAAAAAAAGGCGTCCGCGCACATGAATTGACGTTCATTTTTTTTTCACACCGAATTTCTTCCTGTTTCCTTTTCCCATTAATAAAAACAGCCACTATTTCTATTCAAGTGAAAGAAAGATTTTTGAATAGACTTGTTCATTTAAAAATGTAATGATCCGTTTATATATTCTCATAGTTTTTGTTGTTGCCTTTTTTAATCTATATTTAAATAGCTCGATTATTCTATGTAATTATTTGAGATATAAATCCTCTATAAAAAAAAAAAAGAAGAAAATCATAGAAAATAATAGCAAGAATCAATAACAATAACACATCAGCTAATTTAGATTTTTTTTATGCGTGAATACGTGTTTTACATTTTATTGAATGCGTGTAAATTAAGCCATTTTTGTGACATATTTTATAGAAAAAAAATCCGCGCATATCTTTTTATTTATGCTACTATGCTTTTCATTGTAGTAAAGATTTTTATTTTTTTTCCGGCAGAAATATTTGTTTGTATTAGATAAGTAAATATTCACGCACGATCGATCACATAGATATAAATTAGAATAATAAGCAAGATGAAAAGCTTATTTGACAGTTTTTCAGGATTTTATAGCAAGTAAGTGGAAAGACGAGAAAAGTAGTAGAAAAATCGTAGGAATACTTGCCATAATGTAATCTCGACTATAAGAGCACGTGTATTGCACTTGTCCTTCACTCCGGAAATAAAAATTGTTTCTTTAATAGTTTTG